AGCTCTACTGCAGTCCTTCTCTCGGCAACGTCCCCAGACCGTCACAGCCGCAGCAGAACCGTTGGTAAAGCCGCAGTCTTTTAAATGGACCTCGCTGTCTTGTCAATTGGTGTGAAGTGAGTAAATACAAAAACCTGAAAGGTGGTTCATCGATTCCCTCCAAATGATTTGTCAAAGGTGATATTTCAGCACCAAACTGGCTAGTCTGAGTAAAAACCTTTCAGAATGAAAAGGCAAAACTTGATCCTTGATTTTCTACCACCATCTTTAGGTTGCTGCTGGTACAAGCGGCAGCGGCCGCAGTGGTACTCGGGAGAGGTGCAAAGGCGCCCAAAGAGCATATTTTGGTAGATCAACTCTTCTTGTACACACAGGGCTCTTACTGCCGTAGGGACTTAACGCTGTGGGTGATTTTGTCCCGTCTGAGCAGGGCTCAGAGCTGCGGAGGGGCTGGCAGAGCTGCTCGTGGTTTGCCTTTGCCCCGGCCGCGAAGGGCTGAGGGACTCATCTTCTCACTGCACTGCTTGTCTGGATGAGGAAACCTTGCCGCTTTGTCCTGCAGCCGGCCTTTTGTGTACACCCCGTGGCCTTTTTTTTCCACTCAAGGCTTTCTCTAGACATAACGCTGCCCCCAGATTTCTCAAGAAAAGTTCTGGGAGCTGATCAGGCCAAAAACCACCTGGGGAAGGGGAGACGATAACCGAGTTGCTCCCTGGAGCTGGAAGGAGCACAGGTGCAGTGGTCCAGCTTGCTGCTGGACTGGTGGCAGCCCCACGCAGCAGCTACTGCGACATGTGACATGCGGCAGTTGTTCAAATGTGCTACGGCTCAACATATCGGTTTGAGGTGTGGCGGTTTGGAAATATGTGGAAAGGAATAAAAGGAATAAAAAAACCCAGGAGAAATCCAATAGAACCTCGCTGGTGAGCTGCATCGCAGGCGCAGCTCCTGCTGCCGTTCAAGCCACCGCTCACCGAGTAAGGAGCGGAGGTGCTTTGGTCCCCATATTGCTTTTGAGCATGTTACTGCGCAGCCTCTGGCACAGAAAAGCTCCAGGTTTCACAAGCCTTAAACTTTTTTCCTGGACGTATTAAGGGAAGAAGGGGAAATATAGATAAATGGGACAGCATTTTAAGAGGGTTTCTAGAAGTTGCCTGGAACAAAGCAAGTGGAGCACATCTAATACCTTGGCCCAAGGCTGTGGGTTGTCCTGCTGCACCTGGGCTCACCCTGTCAGGGTGTTTGTAAAGGCAGGAGAAGCAATTTATCAACTGCTTTGCTATTAAAACTACCTTGCCCTCTTAGAGTCTTTGGATGGCCATTCATTTCTTTCCAGCTGCTTACAAATCTCCAAAAAAAATCTCATTTTTATCTTCCTTAACAACCATTAAAATAAACAGTAGTTACTGCTAATGTGGCCATCATAGCTTACATGTTACCTATTCATCTCCTTTCAAATGAAAGCCCAGAGAACCTATGTCAACATCTAAACTTCTTGTTTTGACAATACCCTATCTAGACACAGTTTACACCAGATCTTACGGGACAATGGAATCTGTCTCTCCTGCTCCTGCATCCCAAGTTAAGGGCATGGAATCTGGGTAGCTCAGTGGGTATCAGCATCACTGCTGATCTGGCACTCGCCCACACAAACCCAGGGAGACTGCTAATTCTGGGGACTTGTGTGGACACACAGAGCTGTACAGTGCAGTTCATAATAACCATCTGATGTACGAGACAGAAGGGGAATGGGAGGCCTCGTCATTTTGAGAGAACGGATGTAAACGAGTTATGGTCCAAAGTCCTCAGTTTTGCTCACTGGTAACATCTGTGCAGAATGGAGAAGGGGTTTTGAATTCCACCTAGCAAACAGCCTCTGTACCTAGGAAAGACTGTCCTCCAACTTTGAGCCAGTTATCTAGCATGTAAGAAACCCACCATGAGTCCACAGTGTTTGCAGTAGGAAATAAACACTATTACAATTAAAAAGAAATCAGTCATTATTAGGCTTCTACGTAGAAAACTCTTTGCTTTCTACTAAGGTAAACCTGGGCTGGAATTCTTTTGTTCTTTTGCTATAACAAGTATCACGTGGTTGTGCTCAGGAAGGCTGGACCTCCTTTTGCTCAGAACAGTAGGAATAATGCAACAGTTACATCTGTAGTAGGTAACAAGAGTAAATAGCAGGAATCGAATCCCAGCCACAACTTAGCTGGATCATGCAATTGCACATGGCCACCAGCTCAGCCCACATGACTCCAGGTCAGCGTAGAAGTCACCTCCTGCCATGGCATGATGGTCCTTAAGGCTGTTAATTGGTGAATGTGCAAGCATGTTCCTCTTCAGATGCTGCAAGGGTGAACGTGGTTTCTTGCTTCTCACCCAGCTGGAGCCGTGGCCAGACACAGACCTCCAGCTTGTTCTGCTAAGACCATGGGACCACGAGGAGCGTGCATCCAGGAGGAGGGGAACCACAGGAAGCACAACTGTCCTAGGGAAAACCCAACAGCGATGTGCTGTCTTTCAAAGAAGGGTGTGTGGGCAAAAGGGAATCAATCTGGTTAGCTGGCACTGGCTTTCAGTTTTAAGCCCTGGCCTGCAGGCATGCTCTAATCCCCCAGTGCCAGGTAAGTAAGACAGGATCACAAGGGTAAAATGGTGTTTTTCTGAGATGGTCCAAAATGAGGAGGCAGAGGACTGGAACACACAGACCCTGACAAGCAACAGTTTTCTGTTCCAAATCCTTCAGCCTATCTCCGTTTTCATGTGATACCCATAAGAAGCTTTGAAGACTGCGAGACAAAATAAAACACAGAGCATGTCTATATAAAGGCATTCAGCGAGAAGTGCTGAAATTTATTCAAATTTTCATAATTACAATAGAGACCTCTGACTTGGAACCTTTAATTCACAACAGCAATAAAAAAGGAAACGGTGAAATGGGTTGTATTAAAGTGCAATGATGTGGAGAAAACCATTGAAATAACACAAATGAGGCTGCGGGGAGAAATGAAAAGACAGTCTCATTCTAGCAAAGACAGCAATATACAAGTAAATTATGTTACAGATAATTTACAAAATAACTTACATAGATGAAGAAAAGCCGAATCTCACGTTGCCATTCCATTGTTAAATATCAGACTACATATTCCTGGTCAGCACAGTATTATATGGGATCATTAAAAAAAAAAAATCTGAGGATTTCTGCATTGGAAAAGATGCCTGAAGTAAAACCCTGATCGAGCCTTTATATTGCAGTATTGCAAGAAACATAAGTATTTATGAATTGTGAAGTGACACAGCAGCATGAAGACTATAAATACATCTTGTACATTGATACATTATATCTACACACATATACATATCTACACACACACATACACACACGCACATATATATGTGCATAAATATGTGTGTGTATATATGTTTGAATTTGTACTGACCGTGGTCAGCTGCACTTTGATTGCGTCTGGGGTAAGGTTGCTTTTGCAACCCAGGAGTAAGATCATTCTTTAGAGTATTTGTTGTTTAAGTTTCATAAGCTGCAACCTCTAAAATACAAAATTCTGGCATAAAGAGAGACTTTGGGGCTCAGCCATCAGAGGGTCTGATGATTAACAGCAGTTCCCGTTGCCATATCTGCTGCGCTTAGTCCTTCTGAAAAGTTATGCGCTTAATGTCCACGTTACTTTTAACTAATATTGTACATGAATCAGTTAAAAACCTATTTTCATAGAAGTAAAAATATTCAAGAGATGGACAGGAATGAGTATAGTATTCCATACATGCACACAGTTTTGGACTGTTTGCAAGAATGCTGTGCAAAGAACGTCTGACAAGGTGAAAACTTACAAGATTGGCTTACATCATACCTTGAAAAATGGCAAGTTTAGCATCACCCTTTAAAAAAAATTTAAAATACTTGTCTGTAGCATAAATCTGACTAATAAAGATTTTTTTTCCCGTGCTCCCCTTTTATATAAAAACTGTCATTATTTTTTTCTTTTTGAATTAATCTGCAATAAACACTACTGACTAAAAATGTCTGATTTCTAGCCCTCGTAGGTTTGTCTGAAGGAAGGCTCTTGACCCATAGTGCAGACACAATAGCTTCCTTTGCCTGTAACTGCACTTTAATTGTGAGAGTTGAAGGTAAACATGCAATTACCATTTATTAAGAAATCAGTGAATAAGAACATTTGTGTTTCATTGTGCACCTGCATAAGAAAGAAGATACTACTAATTTGCCAAGGCTATGTAAACACAGTAATCTTGGTAAAGAATTTGGTTGTGAGGCCAAAATACCTCAGAAAACAGCTATTCCACTGCACACATCATTAAAAGGTTGGAAAGGATAAAATAATAGTTGCTTTTGATGCTGTTGTGGTCAGTGAATAGGTCATGTCTGCATCCCAGTCTCTAGCGAGCGGAAGAATATCCTGAAGACCCAAGAGAAGAGAAAAGGCTGGACTAAACCTTCTTCCTGGTTGCTGTAAGAGTCCCATCCACTGCACTGACCGAGGTACGTCCTTGGAGAAAGGGTTTTTTTGGGAGGAGAAATTGTAAACTCTGATTGATTTTCCTCATACCTATCCCTGGACAGTGATTGCTATGTTATTAGTTTACAAAAAGGATTTAGCACAACACGTTTTGTTTGCTCACACTCAGGTTCTGGCTGTTATGAAACAATACAGTTCTGCAGGAACCTGACTGCATATCAATGAGAAAGCGTGTTTTATGCTAACAGCTCTGCAGCTTCAGACTTCAGAGCAGAAGCCTCTACAAGACCCTATTTCAAATCCTTTCACTTTTATTTACAACTTCACATTCCACGCACTTTCATTGGGATCTTCTGGGAGAACCTGTAAAAATCACCTGAAAATACTCCAAGCTGGCAACACGGAACTGGTGGCTCTCCGCTGGAGTCCGACGTCCAGAACTCTGCACAAAAAGACAAACTCTGGATTTACCTTCTGTGGAGGTGGGGTGAAAATTTAATGTTAGCCCTTAATGTCCGAGAAGCTGGTGCTGCTGGCATTGCAGCTGTCACTGCAGCTTGATGACGTGCTCAAAGTGCTGGAGGCAGTGCCCGATTCTGGGAAAGGGAAAAGAAAAAAAAAACAAACACAATAAAATATTATATGGTTGTTGTTTTTAACAACTTTCTTTCATAACAGGAATCTTCAGAGAGACAATCGTATCATTTAAAATAAGTAGCCTACCAGAGCTGCTTAAAGATTGAGCTGATTTTGAATTGCCGATGAGCATCAGCAGATTGTTTGCTGGGATCCAACCTTCTCTACCAGTGCTCAGGTTCTTTACATACCTAAAAAAATTATAGACAATAAAAAGTCAGATTGTTTCATTTGATGCCTTTAAAAGTTTTGCCCTGAACATCTCCCTTCCAAACACAGTTCTGCGTATAAAAATTTCCAAACACAGATCTGCGTACCAAAGTCCATCCTCCCCTTCACGAATCAGTTGAACTAGATCTCCACTTTTCACTGTAAATTCTTCAGAAACTCCTTTCTCATAATCAGTCACAACTGTATATTTACCAGGAGTCTAAATGCACACAGAGGAAAAACAGACAAATTATTTCTATTGAGTACTTTCAGGTATTTTGCAGCTTTTGTCATGAAATTATAGTCCTTTTCCCTCCTTTCTCATGCACACGCATGCTGAAGACAGTGTAAGTATACATGCTGAGAGGCAGCAAAACTTTGCTGTTCCATTACATGCAAATTCAGTACATGAATTCTCACACCCTGAAAAACATTCACTGAAATGTTTCCATTACAACAATTAATTCAAATCTCTACCAAAAAAAAAAAAAATCAAAAGGAAAAAACCCCACAAAACCAAACTGGCAAACTGGTGACATGATGCATGTGTGGAAGTCTGTTGACTTGATAGCTGAGTGTATCATCGCTTGATCCCCCAGCACAACAAGCGCATGGAGCTGTTGGAGCGGGTCCAGAGTAGGTCCACAAAAATGATCTGAGGACTGGAGCACCTCTCCTGTGAGGAAAGGCTGAAAGAGTTGGGGCTGCTCAGCCTGGAGAAGAGAAGGCTCGGGGTTGAGCTTATAGCAGCCTTCCAGTACTTAAAGGGGGCTTGTGAGAAAGTTGGGGACAAACTTTTTAGCAGGGCCTCTTGTGATAGGACAAGTGGTGATAGTTTTAAACTAAAAAAGGGTAGATTCAGGCTAGATGTAAGGAAGAAATTTTTTATGATGAGGGTGGGTGAAACACTGGGGCAGGTTGCCCAGAGGGGTGGTAGATGCCCCACCCCTGGAAACATTCAAGGCCAGGTTTGACGGGGCTCTGAGCAACCTGGTCTGGGTGAAGATGTCCCTGCTCACTGGAGGGGAGTTGGGCTAGATGGCCTTTAAAGGCCCCTTCCAGCCCAAAGCGTTCTATGATACTATGACTTCTGTACTACGACCTAAGCAGCCACAGTCTCACTAGTCTGCAGGTACACAAAGGCACAGACAGACTTTCCCAAGGCACAAACACAAGGCTGATTGAAGAGAAGGGCGTAATTTCCATTCCCCCAGGAATTTTGCCCAGCTGAGGATTTCAAGGCAGACACTTTCCTACCTGAAAGCTTCAAAAGCATTCTTACCTACTGCCTCACACAATGCATCAATAACATTTACTTAGCTCAAGAGGAAATAATTTCTGGTTACCAGCTTCATCTCGCCTCCCCCTCCTCCTTCTTCCTCTGCATCCGAAGAATTCAGCGGATCTTCAGCACTAGACCAGCCATCATTTTCTTCAGATGCATCAAGAGAATGAGTTGTTTTAGCCCAACCTTGGGGAACAAACAGCCACCAGTTAACTTTGCAGCAGTTAAAACCACTGACTGGGAGAAACGTTCTTCCCACTGGAAAGCTCTTAGGTGATCAACACAAACAGGAGAAAACCGTACATGGGGAAGTTATTACAGCCACTGGGTGAAATTCACAGCTGGCAAAAGTTGGCCTGATTCCATCAGAATAAGTGGAGTTGTGGCAGAGCGCAGCAGTGAATTTGGCCCTTTGGATTTATTTAGAGGGAAACAGATGGAAAGAATGCAAATTCCCAACTAAAAAGAAGTTATTTCTCCCTTATACAGAGATGAATGATGGACAGATACTACTGTCTTTCTTGGGAGGAGGCAGAAGACAGGAGCATGCACTCTGTGGGAACAGAATGAACACACAGGGCTGTCACCCAAAGCAATTTCACCAGCCTGCTGGAACAGGGGATGGATGCACATAGCTTCGTTCAAACTGTTGAGCACTTAAAGCTGTTGGGAAATTCAACATAAGCTACAGGCACCCTGTACTTCATCTGACGAAGCAGCTTATTATTTAAGGGCATTCAGGCACAAGGATTACTTAATCACGCTGAATTATCTTAGTGTTAAGTCACTGCACCAAGCACCACAAGAACAATCTCCTGCCTGTCATTTATTGCCAGCTGTTGCTTTTCTCTCTCAGGGTGAAGCAGTTCATATATTTACAAAGCTGAATCATATCCAGCATGCACAAAATCCTTTTCCAAGTAAGCTACAGTAAGTTTTAATAGTGGTGTGCTTTTCACTAAGGTCAGCAGGTGCCAATAAATGTGTCGAGCTTATAATGAAAAAAGTCATGATAAAAAGGGACAAATAAATATTTGTAAGTAAGACTTTGGTTCAAACCGACTGATAACAACAATGAAAATCAATGAAAAGAATGAAAGGAAGAACACACCTCCCAACTTTTATGTAACTATTAGTTGAGAAAGCACCAGCATTTTTGCTCTTCACTGCTTCCAAGGCATTTGTCGCATGGCTGGTCATGCCAGTGCATTTAGGAAAAAACCTGAGTGTTGTCAGAGTAAAGCCAAAGCAGGCTAAGAATTGTACAGAGAAATCACGCCCAGAGCACACCAAACAGACTGGGACTTTTAGCTCACCGACGCTGCTGGATGATCTGCACAAGGCTAGAAATACTGACCCATTTGGCCCTGTCCAGGGTTAAGAATGCACTTCCATCAACATTTGCTTTGAAACTCACATCTTATAGTTGGCTCATGGGACACAGCTGAAACCCTTTCAGTTACTTCGAAGTTAAGAACAATGCAACAGAAGAAAACTTGGCTTCTCCTAATTGTTCCAAGCCCTCGTAAGAAACGGAACCAACAAGTGCAAAATCACTGTAATTGCTCCGCTTGTAGCATCATACTCACTGGCCTGCTCATCTGGAACATTTTGGGTAACAGCTCTTGTTCCTCAGCCTCTTTGTTTTCATATATTGTGCTGATGTGGGTAAGAGCAGGCCTGCCTGACCCTCCCATAGCAACAGCACTCTGACTCCTCATGCAAGCTGGCATTCCACTATTAAGTCCATGTAAAAGCCCATCTGATTCTGGGCAGGGAGGGAAAGTGGCCACGATGGTCATATTCATACTAGCTAACTACAGGCACCAAAATTATGCATGCATATTCAATGTGCACGTGTGTATTCTGCACGGTGTGACTAAATCAGAGCTCCCTATAAAGGCAAGAAACGTCAGAAAACAGCAGACAGTCTTGAGATAAAGCAAGGTTATGCAGAAATGAGCTTAGATTTGATGGTGCCAGGAAAGCCAAGAATTCATTAAGTGCTTCTCTTCAGAAAATGAGCCCACAGGTTTCTTCACAGAGACAGGATCTATCTGCAAGATGCAATTCTGCCACCAATTCAATTTCCTTGAGCTCGCTATGATCTAAGTCAGAGCAATACAGCAGTGAAAGGAAACGAGCTGGGGCAATGCACTCTGCACCAAGGAGCTGTGACCATCACCTGGCGTAGTTTCATGCTGAAATGCCTGGGTCAGCTTCCTGCTTATCCCTCTGGGTTGGGGAAGAAGAGATAAAATGTCAGAACAGAGACCGAAGGTGCAAGACAGAAAGGGGAGTTACTGGATGTTTTTAATTAATTTACTTGGCTTAGTGGTTTCATGAAGTGAGAGGCTGTTGGACAGGACAGCAAATCAGACAAGTCTGTTCCGAGGACCCAACAATTTCACTGCAAACTAGCAATGATCAAGGACTCTCCACCCTGGAAAATTTCAGCATCCCTGGAAAAGGCGCCAAAACACCTTTTGCTTTCCGATAGCATTTTCAGGCCCTCAGGATTTCCATGGTACCTGGAGATCTCAGAAGTCTGACTGCTACTTGCAGAAAAATTAACCTCATAAATCCCATATCCGCACTTGTGGAGTTTCTGCACGTGCCTGGCCTGGGATTACATTGCCTGCTGCTCAGACAAGGTGAATGGTGCTGCAGAGTTTCCCCAGCACAGCAGCTGAACCTGCATCGTTTCCACAGGTGAGACAAACACAAAGGCTGTGGAAACCTGGAGAGGAGGAGGATAGTAGGGCTTGAAACAGCTTCATCTTTAGAATAATATTTTCTAAAAGGGATAGTGGTAGAAAGAGAGTCAGGAAAAGAAGGACTGTTTTCCTTGTACTCTCTAGTTAATTAGCCCCAGGAATTTGTACTCCAGCCTTCACCAACAGCCTCGCTGGTTAGAAATGGATCATTTACCAGAAATGCTTTTTCATTCTTTGTTTAGCTATAGGTTGGGAGGACAGGAGGCCAACTGCTACAAGGGGCTCGCTTAAATTGTCTGGGGCTCAAAAGGTGGTAAAAATTGCCTACTATCACCCAAAGACAGATGCAACAGGACTGTGACTACAGTAATAGATGCAGATCTATAATGGAAACTCCACATGACACTGATGACCCCCACTCCAACTAGAGTACATTGTTTCAGAATTTTTTTTCTTCTTCCTTTTTTTAAAAAGTTAAATCCTCTCCCCAGTGGGCACAGTGACAGTAGGATGTAACTGGAATACCAAGAGTCTCATAGCAACTGGATGCCTCTATTTCCACTAAACATCCAGCTTCCAGTTATTTCTTCAGCAGAACATCCCTTTCCCACTGTCCTCTCCCAAAAACTAGTTAGCCATATGTTACTTTATTCAATGCCAAGGTAAAACTTCAACCAGTTGTGTTGTCAAAAACAGTATATACAGAAGCTGACAGACCTACTTGGAAAAACTAGCTGATATCAACCCCGCTGCAAGCAACAGCATCATACAGGTGCCCCCAGCGCTCTGATGTAACACATGACATGAGGGATGTGTGGATATTTGTGGAGTACAAGATGTGGTATCACTCTACCTCTTAAACCAAAAGGAGTTGGGTCACTCACTACTTCATGCCGTTTAGCTTTTGTGTCAGGACTGGTAGGAGAAGCTGCAGGAGGATGAATAGGCAAAAAACACAGAGGAGAGATATTGAAGAACAGGAAAAAAGAGAATAGGTGGATTGCATGCTAAATACCTTTGAGTTTACACTGGAAAACAAATGGATTCCTGCAATTACTCTAATTTTAGTTGTCATTGGTCAGTTACAGCAGAAGAAATTAATTATTTGCATGTAGTTATTTGAATATAAATGGACAAATCTATTTTACAGTAATAGATGAAAGTATATGTAAACTTTTCTAAATGAACTAGACATCAATTGAATACAATTAATGTTTGTCTAAAATTGAAATTACCAAATTAAGCAATCATTTTTATATACATCTAGTGCTACAGCAATACCTGGTCCTGTAAGAAGGATCATTGGCAATGTCTGGCTTTTAGCAGAAGGAGGTGGAGTTTCTGTCAAGGCAAGCATGGGATATTAGTGCTCACCTCATTAGCATTAGATACGCAACCCTAGAGTCTCTCCAGAAAGAACTCAAAGGTAATCAGGTTTTAAAAAGGCATTCTGAAAAGATGCTTGGGCATGCTCTTGAGCAAGTGCCATTATCTTAATGCAATTCAGACTGTTCAAAGCAAGAATTGAATGTACCAGTGTGATTACTTGGCAGGAGGAAGCAAGAAAGATCTCAGAGTCCTGTTGCCTGTTTTAGCAAAAAAAGTAAAGACCATTTCTGGATACATAAGGAAATACTTATTTATTTTTGTGTCCAGCAAAACGACTGTCATACGCATTCTGCTGTAGCCATGCTTTGAGAGTTCTGTTAGCAAGGATGCTACTACAGAAACATTCTAGAAAACCTTGATTCCTTTTTGCCAAGTACAGGCGCATTTGGGGCAGATCCACTGAAGCTAGAAGCAGGCCAGGTATCTGATCTGAAAACAACTTCCTTCCTCTAGTTTTCCTACAGGAATAGGGCACTATAAACTCCTGCCTTGGCCGCATCAATGAGATTGGAGGCCTTGGAAACTGCACTCTTTCTCTTGACTCTCCAACAGCTACCTTGCATCTCCAACAGCTCCGGTTTTCCTAGTTGTATCTCCCTCTCCCACTCTGGAGCTGGTTTCTCTTGAAATCTCCCTGCCAGGGTCAGTGACTCAGGAACCTACCTTGAACTTAGGAGAACAAGCTAGTGTACACACTGACAACCTGTTACACTACTCACACACGCACACACAAAGTGATGCTTCAATTACAGCCTTAAACAGAAAACGATCTAACTTTTTTAGAAAATTACCTTTCTGACTTTTGAGGTTAGTAAAGCCCTGCAGCGTAAAGCGCTTTTTTTGACAGTACAGAGCATTCTGAGGTAGAGCTAGTGTCATCTACAAAGGAAGAGAGAGATACAAAGAAAGGGGAGAAGGCCATGAAAAGGTCAAGGCAAAAGATCGTTCACAGCCCTGCCAGGGAACTGGCACGTTAGGGTGAGGAAGGACAACTGTAAGTCCCAGTACAACAGAATAACCCAAGTGGCCAATTGTTCTCACTGTGCAGGGGCTCGTATTGCCACTGGTCTAGTAAAAAAATCTCCTTGATGGGAACCAGAATTCAAGAGAAAAATAATACTCTTCAGAAGAGATAATGCAAAGAAATCTATGCAGAGAAGAGAAACAGTTAGTTCGCAGTTAAAGATAACAATGCATACACATAAACTCACCTTTGCCTTTCTCGGGGTACTTCGGTGCTATTGTGGTGCCATAGCCTTCTAGACTTGCGAGATCAGATTTTCTCTCCTCCATTTTTTTGGTGTTTCTGATGTGGTTCCGTGAGGGACTGTTTATTGGAAGAAATTAAGACAATCAATCCATCTCCAGCAAACTTGGATCTGAACAGGGGTGATGACCTTTGGTCACGGGCTGCCTTTTACATACAGATGTATAGGCTGAAAACTATTTCTTAGCTAATTCCCAGATCATACCTTGCAGGATTGAAGAAGTCATGGTGACTGTGCATAGAAAGACCACCAGCACATACAAAGGGGAAAGACTCCCCTAACTGACTGCAACCATACGTTGCCTCTGACGAGGCGTCAGAGAAGGGCAGAACAGCAGGTGAGAGCAGAAGAATATACAGTGTGGTATCGTGAAGGATATAAAATAGGAAAAGAAGAAATCTTGACTCAGAACTTGGGACACTGGGAAAATCCATGCATCTTTTTTTAGTTTTTTTTTTTTTTTTTTTTTAAAAAAAAAAAAGGAAAGTGGAGGACAAGAACAAGGGACAGAGAAAAGATAATGCCCTGAAAGACAAAAAGGAAGATAACATTACACTGAAAAAGGAGAAGAGAAAAAAAAAAAAAGAAAAACAGGCAAAGGAAAAGAACAAAAGAACAGAGAAGCAAGGAAAAGGCTGCTGCATGTAACTCTTATCTGGGGTGTAAAGTATATAATTAGCTGTTCAACAAACAGACCCATAATACCACCAGGATTTTGGCTGACACAGAAAATGACTTTTCTGTGCTGTTCTCCACCAACTGGCAAAGCCCATGCCACTGCTGCTCAGTTTAACAGTTCTGGAGATGTATAAACCCCAAGCTTTACAGCTTTATAGTAGGAAGAGACCTAAAAAATCCCTTAAACATAAGGGCCAATATTAAGGGGTAGGAGTAATGAAGAACTGCAAACTAGATGTATTAGTGTAGTTACAAGGCAGCCAGGCTGATCTGACAACATACTTACTTACCTTGCACAAGATGATGCTGGTAGAGGTAAACTCTGTGTTTGTTCTAGTGTCCTGTGCTGACTAGCTTCTGTAATGGGGGAAAGAAAAAGAACTATTAAAATTGATTTGTGTTTTGAGCTTTTCATTTCTACAGTCCTTCACAGTGAAGACATATTGTGCAGGTTTTGAAGTTCAGAGAGATTAAAAAAACACATATAGATCCAAAATATTTTACCTCTGCATGCCTGCAGTTGGCTTGTCAGCACTTTTCTTATTTCATTTACCCAAGTAGCTTTAACTTCAGGGGTTGGTGCCTACCCAAGAAAAAAATTCAATCAGCTATCAAGCATAGAATTCTTATTACACAAAGAACTGCATGCTAAAGCACAGCCTCAGAGGAATCCTTCAAGAGGGACAGAGCTCCCTCTCCAGTCCTTCACTGAACAGAAACTAGTTGTGACAACGGGTACACGCTGAGGCAGAGACTGTGCATGTGCTACAGTCAAAGCCCGTCTCCCAAGCCATTCCCTTCTCGAGTGAGAACAAAAGTAATGCTGTATATAATATCCCCATGGAGACTGTAATACGTGACTATTGTTTTCACCGCAGAAGACTCTGCAATTTAAATACATTATTTAAGAAACTACCTTATGAATTAACCTGGTGTGTTTTGGTGTGTGTCGTTCCCCCCCCCTTTCCTCATCACTGCCTATTAGTGATATAACAGAGCGAAAAAACCACCTTCTTAGAGTTAGACTTCCCCCCACTCCTTTTCCCTTTTCTTTTTTTTTTAGTGGCATGTTATTTACCTGTATGATGTAAACTTCTTCCCTTGCATTATACCAGATTTCAAATTTTTTTGCATCCCCTTTGACATTTTCTGTTATTCCTACTGCCGCCATCTGGAAGCCAAGACAACAGAATTGTAATTACGATAACAATGGAAGCAGGCAGCTACTGGTATTCTTTGGTACCCTATTTCTGAAAATCAAAGCCATATTTGGCTTCTTGTTCAAGGAAAAGAATAATTAAAAACACATGATGTGCATGTTGGATGTAGAAGATTTAGTGCTTTGTGTCAGCTTGGCTACCTAGGAGGGAAGAAAGGTTTAGGTACATTAAATTGAGACTGACCCACAAGATGTCTCTCTCGAAATTCAGACCACCAAATCTTACATGTATTTTATACTACCCTGCTCTACTCATTATTGCATTTTCTGTGTGATTAATGCAACTGCCATTCAGCTAGACTAGTAGGCTTGGAGTTTGGATTTTCTCAAAGGATAGTTTCCCCCTACCGTGACTCTCTAACAGACAGCAACACCAAGTGACACGGACCTGCAGCACCGGTTTGGTTTGCCTGAAAGGGTGAAGTTCCCGATGCAAAACCACAACACAGTTTCACTGACAAAAAAACTAGAATATTGTATTGCTGCAGGCTAAGCCCTTGGCACCTCGACCTTACTGGACTGCTCGGTGTCTTACATTCAAAGAGTGTTTGTAGCTGTAAGAAGGTGCTTTCTCATATCCCTCTCCGTTTTCTTCTCGCTTTTTACAGAACAGCACTGCTTTCTCGTGGAGAAAGAGGTGTCGCTGCATTGGCTTGAAGCGTGCCAAATCTTTCACCTTCGAGTGACCCTTTTTATGATCAGTCCAGACATTGAAAGATCCCTGCATTAAAAGCTTTCCCAGCTCATTCAGGTTTCCCTGGAACAAAAAAAAGTGATATTTATTACTACAAAGAGATAACGTTAGACTAAAATGCATACTCTGAACAGGTCATTATGAGTTCTGTCATTCCAAGTAATCTCTCACATCAGTGTTTATGCTGGGCTTGGAAATGTAAGAAAGTCAGTGTTGGACTTCTACACATTATTTTCTCTCTCCCCAACATTCTTCAGGCAGGGTTTTACAGTCAAGAGTACCAGTAGCAGATACACAGAGATCCACACATAGAGAGAGGGGCAGGCACGATACACATATTTGGTTGTTTGGGGTTTTTTTTTCCCCAAACTCTGCTCCAAAGCAGCTTATGTCTTGTTTTGGTTTTTTTTTTTAACTGGAAGTTTGGGATGTAGTTTTACACATAAACATAAAAACTTAGTAGTGACTTCCATTTGGCAGTAGCTTAAACCAGACTGTTCATGACGATGTTCAGTTTCTAACAGTGTCAAGTAGATCAAAGAAAGAAAACTTGGGTAGAAGGAGCAAAATATTATTCACAGCAGGAAAACTTCAGAAGAGTACAGAGAGATCCATTTTCCATTATTTTCACTACACAACTCAGTTTAAAGGCATCTTTCGTAAAACAGTCTTCTCATTATTAGTACACAGTATAGGGTATGCTGTACATATATCTAAGAAATAAATGAAAATAAGTTCAAAAGTAACTAAAAATACCATTACTCACATCATATCCTGTAATGGCTATTTGGTGCATAGAATCATTAACTGCTTTGAGAATACCCAGTATAGAAGTTAATGCCTCCTGAAGATCTTCAGCACCTTCACAGTTCTTACTGTACTTCAGCATTTCCTGAATGGGCAGGGAGTGACAGTATGCTTAGCTTTGGAAACCGCAGTAACTAGGGATGTTCAAATTTCAACACTTCTGAAAGTTATCCAGTAAACTTTTATACTATATAAGCTAGTGGGTTAAATTCTGGGTAGAACTCAGAAGACCCAGAAGTTTTGTTTCTCATCTCTGCTGCTAATTAGCCAAATATATTTCGTTCATCTAGAGTTTTTGTAAACTCTGCCTAAGAATCTTACAAGACTAACTTTGCAAACATTTTTTCATAACAATTGCTAAAAGAAACCCCTACAAACCAACCACACCCCACCCCAAACCCCAACCAAACAAAAGGATATTTTTTATATTTGTTACTTTTTAGAGATGAACAAAAGTAAAAAAATCAGCAAATTTCATATATTATTTTAATTATGGTGAGGCCTGGGATGCTAGTAACAGACTTAAACTTACTGCACTGAGCACTGTCTACACATCTAAAAAGGCATCCCTTCTGCTAAGGGCTTATTGGCGAAGCTGCATATTCCAATTTGATCCAGATAAACATAGCTGCAAGTTCATGTGGAACCCCACAGACGTCATAGTACGAGCATAAGCATTTACTCATGGACTGCAGGCGGTAAAGATACTTTAAGTCAAAAACCTTTCTAGTACTCCTATCTTTAGACAAGCTTAATGTAATTATTTCATTAAAAGCTGTAAACTTCAGCTCAGTTTTCATGCAAGAGTAAATTTGGTTCAAGGTAGTTTTTTTTAAACTATTGTTAAATACAATTATTGAAACATGTGTCTGTGGGAAATATTTCTTGAAGCAAGCCAGCTTCAGACCTTAGACATTAACTTAAAAATTTATAGTCCTATATGGCTCATTTTGCTCTCTCAGAATAGCATGTTTAAGTCAATCACAACAGCATCCTTCCTAAAAACATCATACAAGACACTCAGTTAATTACATTTCCTAGAACGCATTCCCTAGAGCTCAGCAAGGCAAATTCTTGCAATATGGACGAGGCAACAATAACTGATGAGTAACAAGTACTCTTTTTTCTTTGTTGCAAAGGTTTCTTGGTCCTTCTGTTTCCCCCAGTCAAATTTTCATTCTTTTCTCTGGCAGGAATATAAGGCCACAAGCAGTTGCACAAGGTGTCTCTGTGTAATTTGCCTGTCTACTAGCAGTTTTTTTGGTTGAACGAGAAAAAAACTGAGCTGAAAGCTGATAGACTGGGATTTATCTCCATTTTGATTTATGCATCTGTCCGCTAACTTTTAGGTTTCTCTCCAGCAGGATGAGAGAAGCAGCATTTAAAAAAACAAATGCACAAAATGTACTTAGTGTTATAGTTTAGTAAGACATACCTTTAACAACAATTGGTATTTAGTTATTCTTTGAACGGGTTTCAGCAAGTACGAGTCCAGACTGAGCTTGTGATCGAGTTTTCTTTGACATTCCTGTAATCAGTGTTGGATTTCATCAGTACGCTAATCAGGATTTGTTATTTGTTCTTGACATACACAATGAAGTTTAAAAAAAAAAAAAAAACCAAAACAACAAACCACCTCCTCCCCAATATTTTAGAGACTCAAACAAGCATACCTGAAAGAATACAGAATCTGAAAACTGCCTCCACAAACTTTCAGATCGAGGTTTATTTTGACAGTATTTTTCATAGATCTGGAAATCTTCCATCTGAAATTGGGGAGACAAGCAAGAAGTCAATAAATTCTTGTGACTTTAGTAGACAAAGTTCACAAGAATCTTTTTCATAATCAAAAAGGGTAAGAAAAACAACAACAAAAATGTAATTCCTTGAGGCATCCCAAGCAAAAAGCAATTATTCAAAATCACTGATTCCGTTAATGGCTGCTAATTTTGTGCCTGGAACATCAGAATATGTTCCTGTTAATTTTTGCTTCAGTGGAATGTTAAGCACCTTGCAAACAAGCATATAATATATTTACAAATATATTTCTATTACAACATCAAAATACTTCTATGAATACCTGACCTTGAGTCCCTCTGTGCAACTTTTTTAAAAGTCTTTGCCCTTTTTTCTTTCTACAGAATGGGTTTGTCACTGGGAGTTGCACTACGGTAAACCAAGCAGTTTGTGGCCACGTCTCACTTCAGCAACTAAATACCAGGACTTCAACTTCCTTTTGACAGCAAAAGGAAATAAAACTGTTGACAATGTCATAGTCACCATAGATATAAAGGAAAGACTAGGTAGGAAATCAGCAGGCACAGAAGTACCTCTGTCGCTCAGTTTTAGGAAACAGCATCTCCATGGATGTAGCCAGTAAATAGGATGGGGAGGGATGGCTCCTCCCAGGAGTTTTAGCACATCAATAGGTAGCAACAACAGGAGATCGATTTCCATAAACAGATTCCTATTTAGTCTTTGGTATACTATGGGGGAGACTCACTGTTTAATAAATCCCAGATTAAAAAAGTTTAGTTCTGTCATAGCTTTGTAATTTCAGAATTAAAATATTGTGGACTTATTCTGTTGAGGTGTACTCATTAAAGAAAAACAGAAAACAACAATAAAAATCCAGTAATCTAACCAAGTAAACCAATCATTTATAGTGACATGAAATGATGCAGTGCATGACTCCTCTTCATGTTTTCCTAACTACCACTTCAATAAAGCAGTTTTCTTTCAACAAGGTAGTAGCTCTTTCTAACAAAATTAATTACCCCATACAATGGAAAATATCCCCAACTCTCAATTAACATGTGCATTCTCAGCCTGTTACCTGTTCAAGATGAACAAAGGGGATGTGGTGGTAATTACTACATGAAAATCACTCTTATGTTACAGTCTTAGAGGGGCTTATAAACAGAATGCCAGAAAAAGATGACACATACCTGATCCAGAAAGCAGCGTCCTACTAGTTCTGGGTATTCTATGTAGTTTTCTAGTTCTCTCAAGAATATTCTGTGAAGAAGAAGATTTTCTTAGAGCACATGTTAAAAAGAGTTGTAGTAAATGTTCACGTGCTTGCAATTCCTTTTCTAAACTTTTGGAAACAGAATTGTAATTACAGAATCACAGAATGTTAGGGCTTGGAAGGGACCTCTGTAAGTCATCTGGTCCAACCCCCCTGCCGAAGCAGGGTCACCTACAGCAGGCTGCACAGGACCTCGTCCAGGCGGGTCTTGAATATCTCCAGAGAAGGAGACTCCATAACCTCTCTACACAGCCTGGTCCAGGGCTCCATCACCCTCAGGGGGAAGAAGTTCTTCCTCATGTTCAGATGGAACTTCCTCTGCTTCAGTTTGTGCCCGTTGCCCCTTGTCCTGTCGCTGGGCACCACTGAAAACAGTCTGGCCCCATCCTCTTGACACCAACCCTTAAGATATTTATAGGCATTTATAAGGCCCCTCTCAGCCTTCTCTTCTCCAGGCTGAACAAGCCCAGCTCCCCCAGCCTCTCCTCATGGGACAGATGCTCCAGTCCACTAATAATCTTCGTAGCCCTCCGCTGGATTCTCTCCAGTAGCTCCTCATCTTTCTTGAACTGGGGAGCCCAGAACTGGACACAGTACTCCAGATGAGGCCTCACAAGGGCAGTGTAGAGGGGGAGGAGAACCTCCCTCGACCTGCTGGTCACACTCCTCCTAATGCACCCCAGGATCCCATTGGCTTTCTTGGCAGCCAGGGCACACTGCTGGCTCATGGTCAACCTGTCGTCCACCAGGACACCCAGGTCCCTCTCCACAGGGCTGTTCTCCAGCAGGTCCACCCCGAGCCTGTACTGGTGCATGGGGTTGTTCCTCCCCAGGTGCAGGGCTCTGCACTTGCCCTTGTTGAGTTTCATCAGGTTCCTCTCTGACTACCTCTCCAATTCTGTACTACAAAATTAAAAAAGCTCTTCCAGATCATGTACTTAAAAAGGGATAGCAAATTAAAATAAACAAACTTTCTGACCAATTTCTTTTAGCTTACTGTTGCTACAACTGATACCAAGTATAAGATTGAGAAGGGGGATTTTTCTTTTTTTTCCCCTGCCTTATGTATTCAGCAGCAGGATTTGTACAGTTTACAGTGTTTGGTTTTTCCTTCCAAATACTACCAAACACCACAAAGTAAACAAATGAACTAAACCCCATCTCCCCAGACTGAAAAAACCCACCAAAAAAAAAAAAAAAATCAGTAATAAAACTTGCAGTCTAGTTTTGCCTGAATAAGAAACAACTGTTTAATCTGCTTAACTTTTCTTGAAAATACTTCTCTTTTCTACCAATATAAAATATTATCCTGTGAAGAAATACCTCTCTAGCAGCAAGGTTTCAAACTTCAGAGAGAGGTCACGAAAATTAACCAGCCTCAACCAAATACAAGAGTTGAGAATTTGTGGTTTAGAATAATAATTTACTTTCCATAGCAAATTTCATGAAAAAAAAAAAAGAAACCCCAAACCAAACAAACCTTGTTGTAATTAGCTTGTAAACAGATCCCAACATCTTTCTTCATGAAGAAGACCACAATGCAAAACTGCACCTGTGTACTGCAAACTTTTGAATAAGTTTTCACACAGCTTTGCTTATTTTTTGCAGCTATTTTTTTTTTCCTCTTCTATGCAATACGAATTTTAACATGCTAGATAGCCAGGTGGGTCTCAGTAAGGATCTTTTAGGAATTTAGATCAGATTAAAAGGAAGAGTATAAGAATCCCATTCAAATGCTATTTTTAGATCTGAATACAAATCCTCACCTGTTGTGAAAGTGATAAATTTCTTCCATATTCCCAAATAAGATATCCTTCTTATTTTGGAGTTCTGGTGAAATGAGATGAGCCATTAAGGGGTTGTCCATCTCTGCAGCATACCCCTGCAACACAGGAGAGGGGCACACTAATTATCTCCCTTGACTTGCAGTACTTATCTCATTTGACAAGGCAGTCTGCCTGCAGGCTGATAGACAGCAAAGAAATAACTCAGTATCAATCATGAAAAAAAGTATACAAATTCTGTTTTTCCATTGGTTCAGTAAGACACAGCTATAATCTTTAGAAATACACATGAATAATTACTGCAATTTTAGTTAAACACAGATGAAGCAGAGTTTGCCATCAAGCAAAGGCAATGTATTCCCACACTGCTTACAAATTACAGTTTGTACTTTTTTCCATTAGACTTTACACACCTGAGTTTAAAGCCACAACTCCGGTGCACATGCAAACCTTCGTGCTAGTCTTAGCTATCAGAATGAGGGAACAAACCAACTGTAGTTATTTCTGCAGGTAACAGAAATCATTAAGCTGCAAATTCTATCTTTAAGACATTTTCATTAGCTTTGGTACCAAAAGCCGTAATTTTAGATTCTGACATCTTCCATTTGTCATACAAGGCTGCATTCTCTTCTCTGTGTATCTGGTGCAGATAAGGAAAAGAGCACACACAGCTGGCTTTAGCCCAGGACTGTTCTCTTCTGGTCCCAAGGTCACTAATCAGTGATTAAGTCATCTCCCAAAATGCTGAAAAAAAACACACAACCCCAACCAAAGCACCCCCAACCATTCAACCAAAAAAATTGCAAGAATGCTCTAGTACCTGTAACTGTAAGCAGCTTTCTTAGTGCACACGCACTGAAGGAAGATTGTGCAACCTACTTCAGATTTGGATTGGATTTCTCTCTTTTGTTAAAAAACACACCCCACAATTATCATAGACAAGGCGATCACTGCATTAGTGACATTGATTATAATAAACTGCACTGAATCATAATAAATTGACAAATTAAATGAAAGGATAAACACAAGTGCACCTACAACCAGGATTTTCAATTTCAAAGTGAGGTCCAAACTACAAAAAGTAGGAGAAGTAGCTGGTAAAGTCAGCTAGCCTGAAGAATTCAAGCATTCAGATAGGACAGTGATTTTAATAAAAATCAGAACCATTGTTTCCTCAAACACCACAAAAAAGGAAAAACAATGGTATAGGCAAAGATGCTGGAGCTCTCAGATAGCTAACCATCGGTCCCTCTCCCATATCTCTCCCCTCAAAAAGGCAAACACAGTCTAGGGGAAAAAAAAAAAAAAGTGGTATAGCCTTAAAAAAGACAAAAATTATATACATAAAATGGAGTGAAAAAAAATTAACAGGGAAAGAACAACTCTGACCACCACGCAGTTTAGATGCAGTGAAGCTATGCATGAAGAGAATGGTTCATTTCCACTTGAAGTAAAGATGATAGCGGCAAAGCCCGCACTGGCATAAAGAAGGGGTACCTAATCCAGCTGAGGTGAAAACAAACCTGACAGAGCTCAGTACTTTGGAATCTGGAAAGAACAAAAGCATGAAATCCATGCATTGACTAAAAGTTTTTGACAATTTTTTTTTTTCCCCACTTCAGGCTGACATAATATTTATTTTAAAAATTTAATATAAAACCCCTTCATGTTTTACTACCTATGCAGTACTTGTGTTTTAAGAAAGGAAGAGGAAAGCTACTCCAAGTAGCCACCAGGATCATTTCATCTTTCTTTAAGAATATATAAGGCTTTGCTTAGTCTTCCCTTTGAAAGCTGTTCCAAAAGCATTGAAGTAAATAGAAAAAGGAGTAGAATACATTACCTAAAAATAGACTAGACCAATATTATAATAAAATTACTGGATTTCAAAGACAGATGACTGTGGTTATTAATGAAAGGAAAACTATCAAACGCGGATAAAGGCAGCTATAGCAGTTTCCCAGTAACCAATCTTGGTAACTACCTTGTTTTCTTCTACTGGAATCCTTACCAGAGAGAAAACGCATGACAGTTTAATAAGACATCATAATAGGAGACACCATCCATACAAAGCAGTATCAGGTTATTTTACAGGAAAAAATGGGAATATTAATAGAACAGGAGAAACAAAAGAACTGGGAGAACAGCCAGAACTATGGATTAATAACTAGAATTACTCAAAAGCTGGAAGACTGCCAATGAGGCACACTTCAGCAAGGATCTGATCCAAATTTACTGTTGGCAGACCCAAACTCCCAAGTTGAAGGGAGATGAATCCCAGACTGCAAGGAGGCACAGAGAAGTGTGCCTGGCACGGTCAGAGTACTGGAGAGTCTATCACTTTGGCAAAAAAATAAAAGACAGCTTGGCCTAGCAAGACAAGGGGTTGCACTACATTCTATGCAAAGCCAGAGTAATACCAGAGGAATACAAAGGTCCTGCAACAACCCTCCAGTAGCAGCAGAAAGGACCAAAAATCCTCCAACTATTTGAGTCTTGATTTTATGAGCAGAACTTTACAGATAGCACTGCATACAAAAGCAGAGACTAAAGTGATCCTTAAGGTCCACTCCAGAGCTACCTTGCTTTGTTACCACACACCACGTGCAACCATCCTACTGTCATCAACACTGCCTAGCACTTGGGCTGGACTCAGGATATAAATGCAACGTGAAGTTGAGCACAAACTAGGCAAAAGCAAAATCAGAGTTCAAAACCCTCGTACAGTACTGTTACTTGAAGGTATGTACTCAGAAATTATCACTCCCAGTCCGTAACTTAAGACCGTTCCTATTTAGGAGCTTAACGTTGGCATGGACACCAAGAGTGCCCACTTGGGTCAATTCCAGTTCATCCCGATTAAAATAATTCAGCTTCAATTATCTGCAACTTCATCTCCTACAGTCAAATTGGACTACAACAAAATGACACATCCATGTCTGAAGACTTAATAAACTTAAGGAACAACACCTAACACTGCAACATATTTCTACCAGCGACTCAGCAGTACCGCAATTGTGCCTCCACAGATGTGGAGCAAAGGGAGCACCTTTGCTTCCTTTATAATTTCAAATCAAGATATTGTTGTTACAAAGCACTCTGTTGCCACAGTTGTACCCAAGACATTTGGAAGATCACTTGAAAGATATGCAAAGAGGGATGCAAGAAACAAGGTTTCTCCCCTGACATTCTCTTCAAGCAGATTCACATTCCTGTGTGACACACGACCTTCCTGGAGTTTCCCCAAGACTCTGAAATGAACTTTTGCAGGAATTAATGATCATTACAAGTCTCACTATGTTCTATCCAAACAGTTAGGCATATCTTATTTTCTGCGCAATTTGTGTTTTGTAATACAAAATCCTAGTTACATGAATATTGCTAGAAAAAAATGCACATTCCTACCTCTGAGACAATACGATGAGAGAAGAGAGGTGTAATGATCACACTGCTTAACGGGACAAGTAAGAGGCATTACAGTGATACGGAAAATGTAGGAGCATCCATGAAATGGAAGAGATAAACAGTCACTAACAGCTGCAGTGAAATTTAATCTTTACCTCAAGAACACAGAGAAGTTCTTCCACATATGCTCGCTCAGTCTCAATCAGTTCATTAATCACATGCCTGCAGAAAAAGAATGACAACTAAGGCAGGCCTATTCACTTATGCAAAGTATTGAGGCAACATTAACTTTGTCTGTGTTTCTACTTTACTTCAGACAATAAAACAACAATTTCCAGAAAAATGGAAAATATGTTATGTGATGTTTCATGGATATTTCTGTCAATAGTATATATATACTTCTTGAGAAGCATGTATTTTTAAAACATTTTTAGATTTTTGAAAATGTGTTTAAACAGGAAAAATGTCAAATGTAGAATTTAAGTGCTATAACAACCAAACTGAAGCAGTGAAGCATTTCATCATTGTACATACAAAATCTGGGTATGCTGTGTTCATAGGTATTACAGGAGCAGGAGTTAGAGCTGCACAGGATTATCAAATATGACCTAAAGTTACACTGGTCATTTTAAATTAGAGGCATTTAAAGCACACTTAAATATCACAATGCTGCTTTATGTTTAATTTCTGTATGGTCAAGCAAGCATGCTTCCCCCCAGCCCCCTCCCTTTGTGATTTTGTACAATTTAACACATGGTTGTAACAGTGAAAAGACAGCAGAAGTATCCACTTTACAGGCAGAAAATCAAGCTCTGCTATACATATCGCAGGTGGTACTAAGTTATTTTCTAAATATAAGTGATGGTGTTTAGTTTTTCTATCAGAAAGTGTTTTTTTGTAACATTTATCGGGCTAAAAAGAGTAAACTAAAAAGATAAAAGTCTAATGAAGCATAGAGACCGAAACCTCCAATAGATTTATAGGAGACATTACTCAAAACTATGTCATCTCCAAAATCAAAATCTGTAGTTATCCTGCCATAGCATCACCTCGCTGCAGCAAGACTAGAATCTGATAGTATATAAACTAGAAATAATGCTGCAGACAGACTGAAATATCATCATCTGTGTACAGAGCACAGCCAACGCATTTCGAAAAGCACTAAGGCTTAATTCAGGGAAGTATACTTGTCTTATCAAATTCTTAGCCAAACTCAGCCTTTGCTGGAACCCAATCAGAGAAAAAGCATTTTTTGTTTATCAAAACATACTTACTGCCGTAACACAGCCAGGTTTTCTTCATCATCCATTGTAGATCCTCTGCTTTGATGGAGTTCAGTCATTTCACTCTATAGAAGGAATTAAACAAACAACAACAAAAAAATCATCATGGCATCACAGATGGGGGTAAACCACTTTAAAATATGGAGCATTGCACTCTGCTCTACTCGCATGCGTTTTCACAGGGAAGACTGTACTCTGTTAAAAATTAAGGCAATTTGCAAGAATGCTGCAAAAAAATCCAAGTCAACCTAAAAGTCCTGAAGCACACAAGAACATTTAGACACAGGGAGTTCTCCATGAAAGGCCAGCTTAGAAGAGACCGTGGTTCGAGGCCCCTTTCCAGGAAGGCAACATTAGAGCATCAGTGTAATCTTAGAGGCAACGCTGGCCTTGGTCTGTTTTCCAAGCTGAGAATGAGGTACTGTGCTAACTTTCTGGTAACTTCCAAACTGGACACAGAAGTTCACTCTTACAACTTCTACTGTAATGTCTGACCTAATTATGGCTTGCTGAGATAGGGGAAAAAAAAAAAAAAAAAAAAGGGAGAGGTTCTGCTTTCAGTCCCCCCTTGAACCAACCCTTTTCTCCCACTGTCGTCCCTACTGGCCATGTGGTCTTGCCTTCCTCCTCGCATTGTCTCTTGCTGAACCTTTGATGAGATGATTCAACTCTCTAACCCAGTGGGAAGCTCTGTTGCTGTTGTTACTTTCCTTGCCGGAGGCGGGGCAGGAAGACCATCCCCACTTGGGAATGGCAACCCATTTGGTAAGGTGAAGCTGTCTTGGAGCCAACGACAACTACTTATTTGCTTTCACCAGTCTTAAGAGTAGCCAATTACTACCAGCAAATAATAAATGTTTCCTGTTCATAGATTTTTGTATTTCACTGTCCCTAACATTTTTCCTAATATAGGCAACTATTTACTTTACCTTCCCTCATACCCAGCCCAGCGACAAAGCAGCCTCTATTTAAACCACATGACTGCTTCACCAGAGTTACTTTGATAGCGGCAATATCATCACATTTTCAGTGGATTGCCTCATTTTTCTTAAGGTTCCCAAATATTCCATTGTATTATGACTTTCTTACGCAATATGTGCATGAAAAGCGCAAAGGAAAAAAAAATTACCTTTCCTCTTCTGTAGTTTACCCTCCGAAGCGCACTGTATCCTCTTTGAAGAACTGAAGACATAAACCAGAATCAAACAGCGGTTAGAATGTGAGCAGATCTCACACAGATGTTTGTGCAACACAAATTACAGCTGAAAGTTTCTTCAAGTTTCTCAGCATAGTGCAAAAAAAGTAGTTAAAGGCTACTACAGTTTCTTACCTGGAGAGGTACAAGGAGATTTTACAAAGGCTTCAGGTCTTGGTGCAACTGGCTGAACAGGACGTGTCTGCTTAGCTGCCAGTTTCTTAAGACTTACTTGTCTCTTCTGAAACATTTCTTCCATACTTTCTTGCTTCTGGAAAACCCTTTGCACATGCTCCTATCGTTGCCACAGAAATAATAATAAGAAAAAAAAAAATCCCTGTCAGAGACCTATCAACAGGCTACAATGCCATTTATGGCACATTGATTTGAAATTGCAATTGCTTTCATACCACACATATATATAAAAAAAAATTACTCTTCACTCCTAACAAGGTATAATTTACAGTCATTTAGTTCACTTAAAAATTGGAACATCACTTCATAAAACATTTTGTGTGCTTGCTATAGAGAAACCAATGGGGTTCAGGTTTCAATTATAATTTTTCTTGACAATGTCTAATACTTCTGTTACATGAAGTGATCAACCAAGAAGAAAAAGGACATATTCTCAAGTTCTAAAAAAAAGAAAAAAAGGCAGTTACAAAGCAGAAGTCATATGAATATCAAGGACAGGCACATTTTTGCTACATAAAAAAGATATTGCAAATACTCACTTGGAAGATTTTTTTTTTTTTGTAAAGCAATCCTAATATCTGAAAAATGAAGTAGTTATTAACAGGTCCGAAGCCCTTGATGCTTATCCGAAGATATGACAGGACTAGCACCTCAGGTAGGGAAATGTGTTGGCTTTCCAGTTCCCAGGTATAACTCCTAGCACTGATTATTTAGTTTTACCAACAGTCATCCAAGAGAGCAATTCTAAAATTAACAAATGGACGCATAGATACACATAAACTTCTTCTGGTACCTTTAGGTCCTCATTGAGGATGTGTGCATACTCTCTGTAAATTTTATTCAACTCTTTGATTTTATTGCCTGCACCAGTGTCCAGGAATTTCTCGATCTCCTGTAATGCCGATTCTGCACCATCTTGAGACTGACACTTGTCTACTGGCTGCGAAGCCAGCAGATAAATTCCTTCATCGCACCACTTCATAGACTAGAAACAGAGAAAAGAACAGGCTCAGAATGCACTGATGTCAGCATCAAAAGGCCTAAAACATTTCATAGCTCTACTTGTGCTGTATTCAGCTATTTAAGGAGAAAAATTCCAGCACACCCTGATATTTTTAGCTGCCATTATGACAACAGGTTGACTGAGGTTTTAGCAAACAAGATGGGAAACAGAACTGTTTCATAACAATTTACCTTTTCTAGCAAGCCATGCAGTTCTAGAGATTTGTTAAGAAGATTCCTCCTCCGTTCTGTCTCAGTGGTGAAGGCATCACACAGATGATGAAGTTCACTGCATTTTGGAATAATGGAGTCCATGGCATAATGATTGCTTTGAATAAAAGCATCACCCTCCGAAGCTAGCATTCTGGCTTTTGCTATAGTTTCCTAAGAAAGTAAGCACTGATTTAGGTACATCTTTCCTTGAATCAACATCAATGAAAGAAGTTAAAAATTATACCATTTGTTTTTACGCAGTAAAATACACGTTGATATAGAATACATCTTTAGTTAACAGCTGTCTTCCTTAATAAATCAAAGTGATTTCCTGTCTTCCCAGATTCCCAAGAACTTTTATGTTTCCTTCTTTATTGTATCAGAGTACTTCATAAACATCAATGAGTTTAATCATATGCCTCCCTGTGAAGGAACCACTATTGTCACTCCATGCCTTAGCTGCTCAGCAGCATACTTGTGTGCACACATATGAGGTTTGGAGCACAGGAGCAATCTGAACCCAGATTAAAAAATACCTAACTCTTGCACCTCAGCCTCAAAAGCAACGACCTCACTTTTAGAGCTATATATTTTATTGTGAAGCATGGATCATAAGAAGGTTCCCTTTCTACACTGTTCAGTGTACCTTTCTGTCGGTCATCTTTTAACATACTGTACGTTTAACACACAGCTTTCTCATTTCTGAGATCTAATGAAATAAGTGGCTTTAATAGGAACGGAATTGGGCCCTTAATCACTAAGTGTAGAACTTGGCTATGTAGACACTTCCTGCAATTCTTCCACGAACCGATCACACTGACTTTGTGACTGGTCACTCTGCTCTTAATTAAGGGATGCCCAAGAACTGGGCTGCTCCAAAGGTAGAGACTTATTCCAAACTCCTTCTGCACATCATTTCAGACACTGACTCTACCCTGTTGTCAGCTTAAGCTCTGCTCATAAGATACACTCAATAAACAAATACTGTTCCCCTCTACACATGCATTTTCATGCTAGAAATTAAGGAGACTTGCAGAGTTCTTACACATGATTTTTCTTCAAAGTTGGCAAGATCTTTCAAAATGTGTTCCACATGTGAACAGCTGTTCCCCACATCTGTGAAAGCAGACAGTCTCTCGGACACAACATCCAAAGCTGCTTTGACCTGAAATGAGACACAGCTATGGATCAACGAAGATGATTCCATCTCTCTGAGACCCATCAGTTAAATAGTTGATAGCTGCTATTTCCAGTCAGGTAACTCACATTATGGGGTTACTGGGGCACAGAGGCAAATCACTTGCCGGCCCACCTTTACCCCCCATTCAAAATGAAAACAAATACAAAGAAAAGGCAGTGAAGTAATCCTGTTTCTTGGTACTGAAAAAAAAATGCAGGAAAACTAATGCTCAGGAAACATTTATGATCTTGCTTTTACCAGATGACAATAATACCAAGCAACATTAACATAAACAGCAAAACGTGTGGGAGAGGTCCTCACCCTAACAATTGATTGCAAGACAGACAGACACACATTTGTAAGAGGTTTCTGAGCATTTCCTCCCATGGAGACACAGGGGCTGTGCTCTGAGATCAGCTATACCAGTGTAAAATGACTGTAGGTGCCATCAAGCACAGGAGTTAAACTCACATGAGATCAGAAACTGGCTGTAAAAATTTTAGTTCAGTCTCCACCCAGCTTCTAACACTGTGGTTGCAACTTCCCACCCTCAGTGTTGGAGACTGTTTTACAAAATTTCAGCCAGAATGTTTAGGTAAGTCTTGGTTCCATAAAAGGGCCTACTAGTAAGATGAAAGCTTTGCAGCCAGTATATTATGCTTCTGTGGTGGAGAACAGGTTTCAAAGGAGATTTTGAATGCTTACACACTGCTGGGCCAGTCAGAAAAAAAAGAAAAATCATAAGACTGCAGAAGAGAAGCTATTATGTTTCTGTAGGCAAGTATTCAAGGCAGTAAAGATAGCAGGATGTCAAGTAAGGACACGTACAAGAAAAAGGTAAGTTTTCAAGCACACGCAAAAGCTGCAAAAACAAGAGTGGGAAGTATTTTCTTCTGAATAATTTCTATATTACTAAATATTGACTGCCACCAAGAAGTTCTCACCTCTCTGAAACTCTGTTCGAAATTCCGAAGGTGCAGACACTGCTCAAGTTTTTGCTGATGCTTAATCCAAAACTCATCAAATGCAGTCTCCGTTTCATGTAATTGAGCCAGAAGCCTTTAAAAAAAGACAGAAATACTGTAAGACTAATGGGCGCAACCTTTGAAAGACAATGCAATCTTCCACAGTAAACGAAAAGCTTCCCCAAAGAAATATTTTCCAGAAAAAACAAACTGGATACAGGAAACTTTTCCTAGTATTGCACAGAATTCTTTCCTAGAATAACACTGATGTAAAACTGAAACCCAGCACAAACATGAAGTTCTGAAAAGTTGGCCAGTGCTGACTTGAAGCTAGCTGCTGCACATACTACTTCTCAGCTCTGGCCTGGGCACATGGGGACTTGGGGCTAGCAAACATAAATAAAACATGCAAATGTGCATGGGTTAGGACTCAGAGGAACCCAAGCCTTGGGCTATAAAGAAAAACGCAGGCAAAAATTTGTACTGCTGTGACCAGCCAACTGCCCTTACATTTCCTTCCTTGGAGCAGGGCTCATAACAAACCCGAAGGTCATTGCTCCTCCTCTTCTGAGGACATTACTACTTCAATATCACAGGCAAGTGTACAGCAGTACTATGATGAGAAGAATCTTCTTCAATTATAATTTTGGCCAGTGCCTAAAGACTTTTAAACTTATCTTCCAATATTGCATTTGACAGTATGGTATCCTATGAACTTCTCTTCACAGTGCACTTTGCTGTACTTAAGCTACATCCAGAGAGGGCTATACATCAGAATTTTAATGATTTTTTTGTCTTTAATAGCACAGAAACAAATCCTGAATTTACAAGTTAAAACTGATTATAAAAAAGGTAGGGGCACACACACAGAGAGTTTGTCACAACTTCTGTCAGATATTGTATCAAGTGGGAAGTTTCTGGATAAATTTGCAATCCCCACCGCGATTGTCCTTCATCTAGCTGATAGCAACAATGACCAAAAAAAGTGACTTCTGCCAAGCTTTGTGGATTGGAATGGACAGTTATTTGGAAAGAAAAGTCAGCCCGAGTATAACAGACACAGGGAATGACAGACAAAAAAAGAATGCAGAATACTGCCTGGGGAAAATGAGCTATGCTTTCACAGCTTTGTGCAAATTTACATCTGTGCTATGTTGATATAATGTCTCCAAAACTGGCAGTAATTTAAGTGGGAGGTAGGAGGGTGGGGAGCAAAGGAAAACAACATCTATTACTTATATGCCCAAAGGAAACACATAGGAAGCTTGTGCGTAGTTACTTCAAGAGTGGTGTACTCCCCAGCAGCCCTTCAAAGGCTACTTACGACATTGATAAGATATCAGAAACTCCCTTGGGCAGGTTTAAAGAAATCTCCCACTTCAATTCAAAAGGACTGAACGAAAGCGGACAAATCTACTTAAAAGAAGGGATATATCACTTCTTGAATCTGACAAAAAGGAAAAAAAAAAAAAGTGTTACTTTGTTGATACTGGAACTCAAATCACATCCCCTATTTCCTTATAGCCAGGTGACCCAGTAATGGACGTCAGGGGATTACTTTGCTCCCGACAGATCTGACAACAGAAGAGCTGTTCCTGAAAGTACGTTTTATATGTTCACAGTGTAACATTTGCTTATTTGCTAAGCATGCATATGGAACTAAGTCAAAGAGCTGGGGAGGGGTCAAAATACCCAGAAAAGCAGCATGTTCAATGCTTCGCTCCTCTCACCTTTCTACCGTTGTTTGATTGTCTAGCTGATCTTGATTCAGTTTGTATTCAGGATTCTCAGTAACTGGTTTTGTAATACTTCCAAGGATATCATCTCCCTGTTCTACTGCTAACCTGATATCCTCCTACAAAACAAAACAAAAAAACCCACACACTGTAGTTGTGTGCTGTTTTTTCAAGCAGACTTCATAAGGCACCAAACTGAAAAAGGATTTTGTTTTAATAGCAATAGAGCAAGCATAGTTTTATTAAAAGCGGTGTTTGACAACAAATACATATAGCAAATGCTAAATGCCAGCTTCTTCTACATTTACCATCTTAAGATCCCAGTGTAAGAGAGGTGAATTTTCATGATAGCCTTCTAGTATCTCCTTGGGCTACAAATATCTCAAAAGTTTTAGACATGCAGTTTTGAAACCCCCCAAATAGTTCTCATTGAAATTGATATGAAAGAACATTTGTGCCATTCTTCAGAAAGTCATATATTTTCATAAGCATGCAAATACAATCAAATTTCTTGCTGCAAACAAAACTACAAATAAAGCACACCACTACTTACAAAGGAATTTCTATTTCCACATGCAAATCATTATGCATTTGTACATAGTAAACTTAGCCTCAAGAAATGTCTTTTTCGAATGCAAAAAAGATTTTAAATATCAAACAAGCAAAACAAGTTCAATAAGATTTCAATGTTTCGCATTATTATTGTCTATTTACATCCTCCAGATTTTCTATTAACATTATTAGCTATAAATTAAAACACAGCTTAACTAGAACACAGCGTCTTTAAAAAAGTTACATACCTTTATTTTGTCCTTCTTTTCTGTGTGTGTTGCAAGAAGGGAGCTGGTTGATTGCACATCATTTGGTAGTTCTGTTTCAGCCAGCTCAGTCCCAAAGGACTGAAGAATCTGAGCTGTTTGCTTAACCTTTTGGGCGAAACCTTCTATAGCCTTTTGGAACAAAAACCATTAATGATGTTTCATACTCATCACATGCATATGTACAAACAGACACATACACACAAACTATAACTTGCAAAACAACCCGAGCAGATGAATTACGAGACTGAAAAATGGTCAAAGTATAATTTCGCAAGCAACAGATACCGTCACCATTAATTCCTTTAATTCTATATTTTTCCTAGGCTCGTATCAGGTACGTCTTCCTCATATTTTTTATAATCTGGAGTTATTGTACAACTTGAGCTTTTTCTTTCTCGTAGAAAAACCACTAAACCTCAACACAATAATACACTGTAGTTACTTTGCTCCAAGTGTTCAGAAAACCACTCCCAAATTATTACTCATATTTTTTTCTCTAAGATGACTAAGTACCATTGGGAACATCTTCTCACTCTGAGCAAGTCAACTTGCATCACTTGGAAACTGTTTTATAAATGACAGGGTATAAAACAGAAGGGTTTGTCAAGCTGAAAAGTTAAAACAAAAACTTAAGACTTACAGTGCGACGGGACAGCCATCTGTTATGGCAGTAATCCAGGGTGCCACCAAGATCTTCTGTTAATTGTGTTTTATCAATGTAACCCTGCAGTTCTGATACTGAGCCCAGCATTATGATCTGCAGCAGTAAAGGAAACAAGTGAATGCAAACAGTGGTGAGAAGTCCCTTATTAAGGGCTCTAAGCCCTATCGTCCAGCCTCCAATAGAAAAATTTCAGTTTAATACAGAAGCAAGTCATGGAACTATTTCCTTTGGGTATAGGATAAACAAACTTAGCAGTTGTTTCAGTTGAAGATGACGTACATTTAAGTAACAGCAAACGAGCATGAGCGCCACACTTAACAGTGCATATTAAAATGAAGTTTATGAATGTGACTCCAATGGGGTTTTTTATCTTGATAAACCATACATGGCTAATTTCTAAGAACCTTTAGCTCAAGTTTCAAGAACTACCTTTTGGCATGACTTATTTTGCTGTGTTTTTTTTTTTTTTTTCCTTGTCCTCATTGGCTAGATTAATTACTTTAAAAGATCCCTCATAATAAAGTGAAAACAAGGGATTACTTACAGGTACTTTCATTTTAAACTCATCTTTGTTGAACTTGAAAGCAATGTCTGAGAGAGCTCGATGAAAGAATCCCGTTGGGCGCAGAACGAGGACTAGTTGCAGGTTTCCTGGGAAAGATGCCTGCAAAACAAGTTTAGTCTGTTATTTTCTGTGTCTCAGCTTCAGCAAACATTTTCAGTCAAGGAGAATCCCCTGTTAAACCACAAACTAACCATATCAAAGTCCTACCATAATGGGGCGACCAATTATAATCCTAGGAAGGCCACAGAGAGCTTCATTCAAAGAGACTCATCCTTGGGAACAGGAGTCTCTTGTCCTGGAATTGAATTTTTTAGGGCTGGCTTGTACTGTTCGTCAGCTAAGATTACATCCTAGCCAAGGAGGCTAATGAACAAACAGTGGTGGCTTAGTTCTTTTTCAACAGCAGTACTTTCATGGTTACCTTGTCTTCTCTGTAACAGAGGGTGCCAAGAGAAACCTCTGTTATTGTCTGGACACATAACAACACATTTCTAGTTTGCGCATATACTACCTTGACAGTTGCCTACACAAACTGCTGCCACTGAGACTGAATTTCTCAGGCAGCAGCTTAGAAATAACCTCTAATTTCACAGACAAAAATGAAAATCAAACATAATAATTCTCAGCTATGCTTTTTCTCATCTTCTTCCAACTAGCAGTCTGATGGATCTTTCTCAGTTCTACAAATGATAGAGGGAAAACAGAAAAGAGGAGGATGAAAGCAAAGAAATAGCACTAAATTACTAAAAATAACTTCTGCCGTGGCAGAGGTTTGCATATTTGGCATGTAGCCATTCTTGAAATCATGCAAGCCCTCTCCCCTATTCAGTATTTCCACTGTAGGGAGGCAGTGAAGCTCACTAAAGAAATGATCATTATAATGATTAAGTATGCAATTTTCTTCATTATACTGTTAGAAATTATGTCACATTTCTAGCAAACTGTATTACTACCAAAAAAAAAAGCCAACCAAAACCCAAACACTGACTGAAGGAGCTGTTATGCTACGTTCTGTTTCCATGCCTAGTGAAACTGTCAGTATCTGGAAGGTTGGAGAGCAGTTTAATACTAATTTTAAGGTTTTCAAGGGTTCCAGGTATTTAGCACTGGAAATTACAAACTTTCAAAAAGAGAAAAGTAGCTAAAAACTTCTCTAGAAGACTTCAAGGATTCACTGTGATTCCCCAGATATTCAGTGTACAACTGAGATCTCCAACTGACTGAGGATCTTTAAAAGACTTGAGTTTCACAACCTGCCTCCACTTCAGCTATATCCAAATTTTCTAGAAAGCACAGTGGTTCAGCCCTAAGGTGTCTGAAGGTTTTCAAGACACGACTGGAGAGGGTGCTGAATAATCTCACTGAGGCTCCCTTTCCCACAAAAGGTTGGACCAGATGACCTTTCAAGGTCTCTTTCAACTTGGGTTGTTCTATGACTCTATGATATTTAGGCTATTACTGAAGAAAACAGTAGTAGCCAAATACAACATAATAGTACATTTTTCTAAATTGTGTATTAGCTTTTATGAGAAACAGAGTTTAACTGCATGACTAAATTAAGTAGGGTCTCTCATTAATGCTCAATTCAAAGAAAACAGACAGAATTTGACAGATTGACAGATTACAATTATTCTCCATGTCAGTGTGCCTACCAAAAATGATTCTGCTGAAATCACTACAGTCTTGTACCACCTAGACTGATTCCCATTTGAGACTTGCCAGCAGTTTCCTCTCTCTCTCAGCAAAAGCTCAAACTCCACATTAGCTTTGTCTGGAACACTGTTCTTGTCTCTGCTAGTCTGTCTCCTAGGCCTTCCATTTTGTTTTTCAAAAAAACCCTGAGTCTTAACGAAGCGTCCTCTGCTTGCCGTGGCTGGGAGTCAAATCTGCAAACTGACCTTTGTGAAACAATAACAACAAGATGAGGGAGGATTGTTACAGTAAACAATGTTGGCCCTGGACCATCTATTTCAGTTTATCTGAGCTTATACCTTCACTGCCCAAACCTTAGTATATTCCTAACTTCTTTTTTTCTAAAGCCCTGGTGACTTGCAGAGACAGTATCATGCAAGAGACACGCCTTCGATGTGTTTGAACTTCATCAGCCAGTCAACTTCACCCTGCACAAGAGAACAAAAAAAAAAAACCCCAAGCCCCAAAAAACCCTCTGTTCCAGCCCAGCAGTGTATTTGTGTAAAGCCCTTGTATGCTAAGCAGGCAGAGCAAACAATGACTTCTCAACAATGCTGTGCCAAGTATTAAGCACAAAAATAAATATTCATGTATGTTTAATCGTGTCACAAAATAAAGTGCCTTCAAGGACTGTTTGAGTGAAGTCACTGAACACTGCTTTGACTTGAAGAAGGGTTTGTGTACTTGTAAACTGTTTTTTCTAAAGTGTCTTTCTTTACTAATTAATATTAAACTGCTCTCCCAACATCTTGTCTTAAATATTGCACTTTAACTCTTTTAGTGCCTATGCAAGAGAGACTAGGGGGAAAAAAAAAAAAAACTTGTCCTATTTTTGGTATCCTCTATGGAAATTAGGGGTAGGCTCTTTTCTACTCTAGCCCAACCCATATATTCCCTTGTCTACTTGCATCAGCACTGAGACTTGTTTGATACTTCATGACACTTGTGGAATTATTTTTCTATCTGCTTATCTCCTTCACTTCCTCATCCAGCTAGTAAAATTCAGTTATTTGCCTATGATCTTAATTATTGCTTTCCTTCACAGAATATAAACGACAGAGGGACCAATACTGACCCTGAAGTTACGCAGCTGCTAACAGGGGGAGGTAAGCAGATCACAGAATCACACAGAATCACAGAATGGTAGGGGTTGGAGGGGACCTCTGTGGTCATCTAGTCCAATCCCCCTGCCGAAGCAGGGTCACCTACAGCAGGCTGCACAGGACCTTGTCCAGGCGGGTCTTGAATATCTCCAGTGAAGGAGACTCCACAACCTCCCTGGGCAGCCTGTTCCAGGGCTCTGTCACCCTCAGAGTGAAGTTCTTCCTCATGTTCAGACGGAACTTCCTATGCTTCAGTTTGTGCCCATTGCCCACCCTCTCCACAGAGCTGCTCTCCAGCAGGTCCGCCCCAAGCCTGTACTGATGCATGGGGTTGTTCCTCCCCAGCTGCAGGATGCTGCACTTGCCCTTGTTGAACCTCATGCAGGCCATCTCACCAATGAAGAGGACACGATGCTGAACAGCTGGTAAGGAGCTGCAAAAACCAAACGGGAAATCATCTGCAGGAAACAACCCCTGCCTGATGCTTGGGAAGGGTTGGTAGCAGGTTATTTATGGGGAGAGAAGCACAGCATTTCCCTAAAGACAGGTACTGAGGTTCTTCCTATCTTTGGCTTCTGCTGTGTAATGTGGTCTTGGTCCCTTGGTGCCAGGGGGAGCTATTTAAGTCACTCAACAATTTTATCTGCCCCAGTCAGGCAGAGCAGCAATCCCACGCACTCCTGTCTGACTGCAGTTGTAAAGAGCACATATGCGCTATAGGCTATTGGACAGATGACATTTTCAAAGGAGGAACAAGCCTCGCTAAATCGCACACTTCAGAATCGCCACGATACTCATTCGGACAGGATGCAGAGCTGCCAGGCTGCCGCTCCCTGGAAGAGGCAGCGCAGGAGCAGAGCGGTGGCCAGGGTCTACAAAGAGGAGTCAGGCACTACAGCTTTCAGCAGCGAATACCCAAAGGTGAGCTTTCAGAAAGGGAAACCAACACCGTGGAGTTTTCATACCTCAGGTTTCTTCCTAGGGCTTATTTAGTATACAAAGGAATTATGCAGATAGATATGTATATCTTTTAGATAGAAATGCACTTAAAGTCGCAGTCTGCTGTTCAACCCCACAGAGCAATTCACTTAGCTGTGCCGGTACTTAGAAGTCTTTTATATTCACACAGCAGAGGAAAGTTGTTCTGATAAACAGTGAACCTACAACCCTTTTTACTCTGCTTCCCAGCTAAACAGCCAGTTTTCAGAAATATCTGAACCAGTCAAGCTAACACTTGACTGAGTTTTAGTAGTTCTGTCTTAAAATACTTTGAACAAGACTATTTTGCGTTTTACGAAGAGCTTCAATACACCCGCATTACCAAAGTCTGTGGTGGTGTTTTCCCTTCTGCGCTTAGTAGTATGCCATAAGCCACAGGGCACTTCTTTCCAACACTTCTTTCTCTGTATATAAGGAAGCTAATAAATACTTTTTTTTTTCTTCCCAAGACTGTTTATTCCAGGCTAGAACGAAGTCTCTTACACAGACTTCTTGCCAAGAAACAATCTTGAATTGAATCAATTCATAAAAGGAGCACTTTGAAATCTAGTTTTAAAAACATTGAGCTGTTTTGCATTAGATCAGAGTTTAATGCTGGTGGTGTTATGATCCTGTTTTCAGAGTTTGAAGTGATTCACTCCTCTCTCTCTATGTATTTGAAAAGCATGTAATGAAAACGGAAAAATGGCTGACTACATAAAGATAACAGCAAAAGTGCCTGCACATGTAATATTCTCAAGATATCCAAAGCAATAAGAAAATGTCATACAACATCTCAAAATAACCTTTTTTGTTTATCATTTACTAGAATCATTCATAACAATAGCTACAATATTAATACAAATACTGTTATAGCTTTATCACACTGTCACGTTTTTGTTCTTGTTATGTATCCAAGCAAAAATGAGAAACATGACTAGGGGCTGAAAGAAGGGCAGTTTTTTCAAACTTAACCCACACAAAATGGTAAGTGTCATTACAGTATTGAGCACGTGATGCAAAGAGCTAGCTAGAAACTGGACTAGCGGGAAATACCTGTCCAGAATGTAAAATAGTGCCTTTCATGACCATGGAGCATTGGTTACTAAACACATCTTTCTTCCATCAACAGCTCACTAAGGAACTCAACCTCTTTCTACAAACAAGGCCAAAGAACTCAAGGTTGGATGACTGTAAATCACAGTTTCTCACCTTGGATGCAAAACCAACAATAAGACTGCAGATGGCACAAAAATGGAACTTGCTGGCTCCTGCAAGGTTTAGGCTGGTATTAGCACTCCAGTCTCTCCATTGGCTTTTGGAGACCAAAACTGCCAACTAAAGGTCTTGGCCCTAATCTTCAAAGGAATTAATGGGCTAAGCCTCCATTATAGCGAAGACTGCATTTTGATTTATGAAGAACTAAGAAAAACAGTGCCCTGGACAATGCAGTCTGAAACAAAAGGCAAGAAACCTGCATGCAATGCATCCTTAGTCAAAGGTGGCAAATCAGGATGCAAACTTCTCTAGGACGTGGGATAAAACCCAACTCTTGCCACATTTAGAAAGGGCTGTAAAATTTCATAACTGGATAAAACGTTCTCACTACCAGCTGAGTGACCTCCATATCAACTGCTTCCTCACGAGCAGTTGCCCACACATATGTCCTTCCCTAAGCATCAAGTTTAAGGAAGCTTACTTTTTCTGGACTTTCAACATGAGACTGATGGATGGCTATGGTGGAACTTTATGTTGAGTGCAGTTTTTTGTTTGTCTCAAAGTTTGACTTCACACTTCCACCTCTCCAGGAAGACAAAGGAAGACAATGATGACAGGAGAACAGAGACAAAGACAGTGTAACAACATAGGCTTCATTTTTTTTTAAGAAAACACACTGGAACTATGAACACAGCAGTGTGAAACCCCAGAACACATTGATTAGAAGTGTGCCTTGCTCCTACAAATGTCGATTAAATATTGTTTGTTTGGGTATGACAACATAAGGAGAGAAAAGGAAAAAGAGGGGAAAAAAAAAAAAAGAAAAAAAAAGTGTAATTTTTGACTGCATGGAAGGGAAAAGGGCATAAATTTTTCTGATGTTTGTCATTTACCCGACTTCAGTCAGGACAATATGGAGCCGTTTCACCAAGCTACGTGACTGCTCTTCCTCGCACCCTCAATCAGGAACCATGCCTTATTTCCATGACCCTATCCACTTGCTCCACCACAGGAGCTAAAAAGTTCCGCTAGGCCTTATGTGTCTCTATACTGTCTTTAACTGAAAAGAGGTCATTATAATACAAATTTAGAAGCATCGCAGTAGATGCCAGGGCAAAAAAATTTAGAATTTTTGTATCTTCAAACAACAATGTAATAAAAGCAAACAATTCACAATGGCTAACTTCGCTATTTTTCTTGTAATGCCTTTCAGTTGTCTATAGCCTCTCTAGAAACATGACAATTTACTGCCAAGACTTCACACTTAACAACATAAAGCTTGGCTTTTGGCATCTCTGCCAGAACCCCACCTCTCAGCATGGCTATCCCAGTAGGCCAGATTCTTCCTAGAGACTCAACAGTAGGGATGAATTCTGCCCAACTTGCAGCCATCTAAAATCTAAGCTTTCTGTACAGTCAACAGTATCTCTAGGTTATCTGTCCCACTTATCTCTGATACCACGAGTCAACCTCCAAACACGTGCCATTCTTGACTGCACTAAGCTAATAGCTTCACTTTAGCTAAATCAGGGAAACTGCAAAAAAAAAAAAAAAAAAAAAAAAAAAAATACTATTGTTTGCAGTGTCTCTTAATCCACCGAGTCTGCAGTCTTGGACTGACTAAGGACAACCTCCTGGGCTGCCAGCCCATTGCAACTTTGTCAAGTAGAGCACAACAGCAGCAAATCCTGCATGCCTGCATGTGCTTGCCACAATCTCTGTCACATCCCAAGAAAACAGGTGCCATTTGTCAGCCCAGTGCCTCTGTCTTTGGTTTCAGTTCTGCTGTCGCTGCACATGCTTCAGCAGCAGTCATCCTGTGTGAACGGTGCAGCCCCTGCCCTTCCACCATGTCTGCAAATATAGGTTTACCTCATTTTTACAGCCTTAACTCTCTATAGCAACCTAAAATATCAGCATGAAAAAGATTCAGCTCGTCATCACTCATTTTCTGTCCCAGGAAAGAAAACGATCCCTAACAACAAAGAAGGAAAAATGAAGCCTAGAAATTTTTCACAATACAGAAAGATTTTCCACATGAATTTCAGCCTGAAACAAAAATTCTTTCTTCATTAGTTTTTTTTCCAAAACATACTTCTAACACCTACTAGTACAAGCCAAACATGTGTGAAGGGTCTAGGAAATAACACCAAATAACAATTATTAAAAAAACAGAAGTTAGTATGAGTTTCTGGTTAGCAGCTGCTCAGTGTTTACAAATGTATTTCCTACAGCTGTCAGGATATCCCTGTTGGGCTGTGCTCCAGCCACAGCACCCTGCACTGGCATCTCCAATTTCACAAATCAAAAGGATCAACCCCCTTAGGACTATTAAAGAAAAATCGGGAAAGATGGCTGGGAAGACGCTGCAGGACCTAGTACAAATGAGCTAACAGCCAAAGCTCTCTTCTCCAATAACGTGAGACTCTCATCCTCACACACAGCAATAAGCTTAAGCAATCACAACTGCTGGAGGTACCTTTTGGACAAAGGTCCAATCTAGGCAACCCAAATGATAGTCAGATGGTTGATCACCATCACAAGACAATTCTGATGGTTAGGAAAACCAAGGAAGGGGAAGTTAAGCTTTTAGTTACCCTTGAGCCATTTATAAATCTTTGTCCATCCGCAGGACCCAGAGAGCTTGGTGCAAGATGTGTATCGTATACCTGGCTTTGTTTTTTTTAAGTAACAGGCAGCAGAAGCCTATTTAGAGTTCACTTACAGCAAATATTATAGTAAATAAATGGTGGAGACAGTAAACAAGGATTTGTCACTACATTTTTATTTATTTATTTTTTAATCAGAAGGTAAAATTTTCAGGTGTTAGGGATGACGTGATTATTGCAAGAAGCCCAAGAGAAGTCCTGCCACAGGCATCCACAGACACAATATAAAGCCAATGCTGAACCAGTCCATTTAAAAGAAACAGATATTAAAAAAGATCATGCCTCTAACAGATTAGGCTTCAGATAGGAAGCATGATTGCTCTTTTACAAAAAGCTCACAGAAGAATGAGAACAGAAGAAAAAAGAAAAATAACCCACCATTAACAGCACTGCAACCCAGAGAGCTCACTTCACTTAACACCCTTTTCCAGGCAAAGCTTTTAGGCACCAACACCACCATTACAGTCATGGATCCTGTATCATGAGGGACGGATACTCTGGTTCTGTATACTGTGCTTCTGAGCAAAATAACACACACTGGAGGAACATTACTGTAAATGTTAATATTACGGCTGTAAGCATCGTGTCTGTAGTTGCCCCTCACCCTCTATCACCTCAATTACGTAAATAGAAGGATTGTCATATGTGAAATACTTATCTGTCTTTGAACAGAAACTACAGCACTGAATTCTGAAAGAGATTCAAAGACTCCAGAGACATAGTCCTTTTTCTTTAATCAACCCAAATTGCGATGCTCCCAGTTTCCACTACTGGAATACGCTCAATGCTGCATCTCAAAATTCCCAAGTGAGCTGCAAAAGCAAGTTTTACTAATATTTCTGTACATTTTTAATATTTTAAGTCCTACACATACTTATTGTGGAAAAAAGTTGTATCGTGGTAATATAATATCATTATACATTCATTCACAAAAAGTCATATAGTGGGAGCGATACATTACCTTTAAATAAATACCTTTTAATTCACAATAAACAAACAGTTCTTTGGTCAAAATAGGGCTACACAAAAATTAAATCTACTGTTTTGCTCTGAGTTTCGTTCTAGAAAGCTTAAAATTTTCAGCCATGAAAAATTAAAGATGCTTACAGCTCTGTTTTTCAGCACTTACCAGAAAGATTATCAACACTAACAACTCAAACAAGGATGACAATAACAAAAAAAACCCAAAAGTAAAGAAACAGTATGGTAAGCATACGATAAACATGAATCTGTCTTTTCCTACTTGTGTAAAAAAAAAAAAGCTTCTAATAAGCTTAGTTTTCATATTTAAAAAAATATATTAATTAAAAAGGAGACTGAAAGTAACCACATGTGCTATGGGTTGATCATAGTAGGTATGTAAGATTTTCTTGTTTACATACAAGCTTTGTTTCAACTTGAACACCACAAGATCAGCTTTTACACCTGAATTCCTTTCATAGGCGGTAAACTAAATCAGGATCCTCATCCTGAACTCTTCCTAAAAAGGAAGCTCACTTGAACAGTGAAAGGTGGACCCCAAAGCCCTGTGAGATGCACGGGTTGCCCATGCAAATCTTAGTTCCCACCCAGGAGAGCTGCATGCTGCACACATTTGCATGCGCACACACGTGCACACACACACACCTGCTCTCCAAGTGCCTTCTCAGGCTGATGTCCTGAGCAGCAAACTGCATTAAAAGCACATCATAGGTACATGATGCTCGGTGATCCAGTCAGCTGGGATACAAAAGCACTACTGGATACTCTGTGTGTCATATATCAGCTAACATTTTGTTGAAGAAATAAGGTCACTGCTGCTTTTTTACTCTTAAGTGGAAAATTCAACATGGAAAATCTTTCTAAGGAGTTAATTTAAAACAGTACTCACTGCTATCCGCAGTATGGAAGCTTTCACAGAGGTCCATTTGTCCTGTCTGCGATCTATGACAAGAATAAATCCAATTCCAGCATCTTGTAAACTAATTTTAGAGGAGGAAAGAAGAAAAAGAGAAAGTTTAGTTAAAATTACAAATGAAATTCCTCTGGTTCTCTCACTAAAATAGCAGTCAAAAACTAGCTAATAAATAAGTGGCTTGACCTTTTTGTGCAGAATCGTCTTTATCTGAGATGTTTAGATGAAGATATACTATACTACACTGAGGCAGCAGTCCTAAATATGTTCCACAGAGCTTCAAACCATATTCAAATCATGAATTCTTCTTTATCACAAAAGATAGTTTTCACATTTCTTGTATTGAGATTACTTCAGAGGAAAATAAACCCCTTTGATTCTCCTTTGTTTTGGTGCTGATATAATCCCCCTTTCACGCTGTTTTCAGTGCAGTTTCAGGATCAAAATAAAGTTGTTTTGCATCTGCTTTTAACCTTCTGTTTGAATCATCTTCCTTCTCACTGACACCTAAAACTCCTTAAAAATTCAGAGCTTTCTGATCATTCCATGATAGCACTCCACACATCTGAAAATCTCATATGCCTCCAGGTTGCAAACTCGTTCCCAGGTGCATTTTTACGTTCACTGAAACAAAAAATCCCTGTGGCATTTAAACACTGCAAATCACAGATGAGAAAAACGGGATCAGATGCACTTCTCCGGAATGGAAACATCTGTGAGAGAGATCCCACCCAAGTCCTTGCGTACGGGTGACCTTTCTTTTTTCCCCGCCGGTGCTCAGCCGCGTGTGCTACTGAGTCCCAGTCGAGGGATCTGCTCCTGTTTTGTAATTCCCCACCTAAGCCAATTGCGCAGTGCCAGCAGCAGCCCTCGCCAGCCAATCGCAAGCAGAACGGAAACGGCAGGCAAATGCAAGGCAGACGGGCTCGGATTTGTTATTTTCTCCTGTATTTGGTCATTTTTTATGTATGCGCTGTATTTTCAGGCCGGATAATAATTTACTGCAAGGGCTACTGTCTGCACCGTGTGACATTTAGAAATACTGTGCATCGACTTGTTATCGTCATTCCTTAAAAGACAATATAAAAAAATCAACACAACCAAACAGGATCCCTTATTCAAGACTGCTGAATCATGAAAACACCAGCTTTGCTGTATAAGATCACACTGATAGCATAATAGTAAGAGGATGTTCAGGAGTACGAAGAACGCAGGTACCCAGATGTGTCATCTTAAGCTATTCTTCAAAAGTACAAATTTAAACATGACCCACAGTCTATCTCTTCTCTTTTACAAACTGTAATATCTCTCATATTTAAAGACTAAGTACTTAGGGAGAAACATGAATCACCACAGAAAACGCAAAGTAACGAAGCAGTCATTTTAACATCGGAAAATACTAGAAACAACCCCTCACTGCCCACATTCAGAACTCGTTACTTAAATCTTGCCTCTGGGTTAGGATAACACTGATAAACAACATCTGGGTGCTTGCCTTGTAAGCCTGAATAACCCTTGCAGACAAACATGGCTTTATATTAGCAATATGCTTCCCACTACACTAAATTTCCACAATTTCTAAAGCTTCCCCTCTTCCTTCTCTTTCTTTATTTGAAGGGCAAGAGGAGAGAGATCCAGACTGATTTTAGCATCTTCCTGTTCCCCATTTAAAGTTGCCCCCATTTTAACCTTCAGTGACTGAGCAAAATAAAGTGCTAATAGCAACCATGTTCCACAATAATCACGTAGCAAAACAAACTCCTTGGGTCACACAGCCAAAATGTCGACGAATGAAGTCGAAAAGGTGCTACAGCTGTTCCCACAGCAGTTCCTGTGCAATTTGAAGAGGAATAAGACTCTTAAAGAGCCACTTCCCCCGCTCAGTAGAAGTCCCCAGGAGTCCTGAAATTTCTGCATACTTCCTCAGTTGAAGATAATCTCGGATCCCCCAGAGTATCTAAATGCAACACCTGTATCGTATTTCAAGAAACTATTGGCATTTATACATAACAGGAATAAAATTAAAGCGTCTGACAGAGCATCAATCAGCTTAATATCATTCTCCCAGAAAAAATGACAAGGCTTACTTAAGTGGAAGAGTTGACAAAGGAAAGCACATCTCTAAGATAGCCCAGAAGATGTCTTTAGCCAGCCTTCTTATTCCACTGGATCAAATACGTCGAGTGGTTGCATGATTCAGAACTTGTCCCCCTTCCAGGCTCAGGCATAAAAGCCAGGATTTCCCACTGCTGGCTAGAATAGACTCAGGGGCAAAAAGTCCTGAGCACCTGACTTCAAACCATTAACACTTCATCAACACAGATTGCTTAAAAAAAAAAAAAAAAAAATTAAGTGCTCCGTTCTGAACCAATCACAATGGGAAAAATATTTGTTATCTTGACAACAGTGCCCCGTTGCGAAGTGCTGGCTGTCAAGCCTGGGATCCAGCTCCAGCAAGTTGTAGACAGGAAGCAACAAACCAGACTAAGACATTGTGTACAACAAAGTTGAGAACGTTATGAAGACAATAACGTCACGTATTCAAGAAAAGTAAACAGTGGAAACAGGTCTGTTTGCCAGGGCACCCTTGCTCTGCTGACCTCTCTTTGCTGCCACACACACCTGCCTAAGTAGTTACAAGCCAGTCTGCAAGGACCCCCTCTTTTTAGGGCATAGGATGAATGATGGTCTGGTAACAAGCAGATATATTCCGTTTTCCTTCGGCTCCTGATTTAACCGCGAGTGCCAGCTGTCCCCCTCTCCCTCAGCCACATTTGTTACCTTCTACTCAAACACTGACTCCTCTCCCAGCCCTCCCCACCATTTGCTTGAGAGTAAAGCATTTCAGCTCCTGCTCTGCGTCTCAGTAGAAGCATGCTCTGACCGACAGAGCCCGTCCTGCTCATCAAGCTTTACGCCCTGCCTTGCCCCAGCTGCGTTGTTTTGATCAGCTTAGCCCAGGTCTTCTCACACCTCTGTATCACTCCAAGAAATTTGTCACTAAGATCCACATTTGTCTTTCCCATTCATCACTTCAATCATTCTCATCCCTTGCTGTCTTGTCGCAAGAACTGCTCAAAAAGTCTTGGCGCTTTATTTTTTGTGTTTTATACTGTCAGGACAGATGACCAAATCAGTTGTCATCCCACTCCTTCCTCAATGTTGCAGTCCCCTCATCCTCCAATGCAAGTCTCCCTCACCCTATGTCCTGCTCAATCTTTCAGGATCTTCCCGTCAGCGGGCAGTTCTCTTGGCTGTGGTCCTGCCTGTTGAGTCAGGCAGCTTGCCTGCACTGCCCGCTTGTCAACAGGCAGCACTCGCATGCCATGAGACAGTCCTGCTGCTCTCAGCCCTGGTAGCAGACCTGGCTCTTGAGCAGCTCATTCTGCAACCACAGAGAAGCTCCTGCTCAGCCCCAGAATGAAGCGGGACACTTTTGACAACAGACTTGAGTAGCTACTGAGCATCTGTGGCCTGGGATTTGGGCACATTTTTCTCAAGGTATTTCCCTGACACAAAGGCCGTAATTCTTCTAAGCGTCAAGTCCGAGTCCTTGAACAAAGGATGGGGACACTTGAGCTTCTCAAACAAACGGCTGTTTCAAGTTTGGGAACAACTCACCTATTTCGGCTGAACTTTAAACCAAAAACTCAGGTGAGGCCTCAAGAATGGAAAGAAAGTCTGGCAGAGCTGTAAATGACTGGAAACCAATCTTTACAGTGAGAAACAGCAGACAGCCTCAGCAGAAGCACCTGCCTATTAAGGCTTCTTGACATTTCCCTTACAACCTCTGTTTTCTTTAATGCATTAACTTGTCTCTGGTGTACTTTCTGAAACATAATTTGTATAAGCTTGGAATTCAAATTTAGTATTTCCTTCCTTTGTTTCCCTCCTAACACACACAAAAAACTACATCATAAGATAAGCTCTGTTATTCTGTTTATTTACCAGCACAAAGAACAGAATGTTTTTAGAAAGGCAGAGAAACTACCTCTACTCTGCTAGAAATATGTCCAGCAACCTCACAACGGCCAGGTCAGAAAGGTAGAAAGCAGGGGAAGGGAAGCAGAGGCCACAGAGGACAGAGAATGGGAGAAAAATGAAGCAAAGGGTAGACTTTCTGCTCAGTCCCCTCCCTCCGTCTCAGGGAGCCAGTGTAACTTCACTGGGAGATGGTGAGAGCACGAGGTCGAAGTACCTGCCCAACAAGCACCAAGTTCTCCATGTAGATTGTAAAGCAGGAACTGAATTTTCCGCTTAGTGACTCCTCAGCTTTATATTATGGGGACATCTGCCTCTGTCTTATTTGCAAGACTTATGAGCTCATGCACCTGCGGGAAAGGGTGGGAAAGCTTATAGTACACATAGGACTGCAGCAAGAAACTTCCCTCAGGGGTGTGTGGAAGCAATAACATAGTCATCATCTGAAAGATCCGTGCATTTCTCCAAGGTATGGGTGGTGACAACTGCTACACAAATAAGTTCCTATTGCTTCTACACTGCTGTATAAAAACCGCTTGCATACATTGCTCTCTGTTCGAAGAAAACAAAGCAAAACTTCAGGTTCATTGCAGTGACTTGATAATATAAAGCTTTTGGGTGTCCGAAATTCTGGGCAGCATTTTAGGTTAAATAATTACAGTTTACTAAAAGTTAATTTCAGTCTTAAAGACTTATTATTAAACAGTTGGTTTATATTACACTCAGCATTGTTCGCTACCTTGACTACCTCTGCCTATACATACAAACCAACTAGAAATTCTTGAATTCAGCATCTGAACAGCTATTTTCACAGTAGGACACCAGTAATACTCCGTAAGGAATTACTGCATTGGGCACCCTGGTACTGCCTCCCTTACTCACCCCCTCTGTAGCTCACTGCTGATCATCAACACGCATCAGTGACCGGCACACACTGCTTGAAGAGATTCAGGGTCTCAAGCTGCTCATAAATCCTGATCTTTTTTGGCATGCAACATGCAGGCCCACGTAGGAAGGACTGTGGAATTCACCCATCCACCCATCATTGGCTGTACTACTGTACCACAAAGGGGCAAACACACAAGA